GAGAGAGAGGACTGGGAGAAGGCGACCGAGCAGGCCCAGTCGCAGCATTCACAGCAGCAGCAGCAGCAGCAGCAGCAGCAGCAGCAGCAGCAGCAGCAGCAGCAGCAGCAGGCGGCGGCAGCGGACGGGCGGCCAGAGGATGGCGGCCGGCGGCCGCCGCGGCTCAAGGTCGTGCTGATGTCAGCGACGCTGGATTCAGGGCTGTACAGCGCCTACTTTGGCGGGTGCCCGGGTGAGGCCCCTCTGGGCCGCGGGGATGCGCATACCCATTGCTTTTCGCTCTCACACGCGTTCAATCATTTAGGAAACCCCTGAGCTCCCAACCCAACCCTGCGCCCATCAATTGGGAGCCCGGGCTCGCCCCACCGCCGAACGGCGCCGATCGCGCCTGCTAGCCCCCACCGCATTCCGTGCACGCGGGGCGCGCGGTCCGCTCGAATCAACCTCCAGCCGCGACGCATGCGCGCGTGCCCCAGGCCCGCCCACACGCACACACGCCCGCGGGTCTCGCCGCTCGAACCCGCGCTTTCAAAACAACTCGCTATCTCATCTGCTGCCGCCGGCCCCGGCAGTGCTGTCGTGCTCTGGGCGGACGTTCCCTGTTGAGCGGCTCTTCCTGGAGGACGTCTATGAGGCGACAGGTTACAGGCTGGACCCCGGGGCCAGGTGACGTCATTGTTTGACCGCGGGCTTTGACCGCGGCTGTTGACTGTATTTTGCCGGGTTTCGACGCCGGGTTTTGAGCGCTTGCATGGGAAAATCCGAAAAGAAAATCGGCGGCTGGGTGTGTGGTCGATTCTTGCACCCGTTGCGGGCTGGTTGAAAAACCTGCGGGGCGGGTGGGTACGTCCTCGACTCTTCAGCTGTTTCGGGGCTGTTTGGATCTTGGTTATTTGGGTCAGGTTTCCAAGGTGTGCGGCGTGGAGGGGATTGACAAAGTCCGGGCGCACACGATTGAAGGGTGTCAAATGCTGACTCAGCGCGCCGCACCCTGACCAACCAACCCCCAGGGCCGCCCTCCGCGGCGGCGGGCGCGGCGGCGCGGCCGGCGGCATCAAGGCGGCCGCCAAGGGCGACGCGCGGCGCGCTGGGCTGCTGCGGTCCGGCTGGGGCGACGACGAGGCGGGGGCGGGGCCGGTCAACCCCCACTTTGACCCGGATCTGTACGATGGCTACTCGGCCGTGACTCGGCGGTGAGGAGTGCACGGGGCGGCGCGTGCGAGATCAGTTGTGGTCATGTGACATCAGGTTGATGTCACATGGTCCGGGGTGACAGGATCACGCCACAGCAACACAGAATGGGGATGCAAGCTGGGGATATCATGACATCTCAACCTCTAGACGTTGCAAGGTTTGGAAGCGGCAGCCGGGCGGGTGGGCCCACGAACTACGGCAGGCCGGTCCCCGTTTGGTCACGCCGGCGCGTCCCGCGGGGACCGCAGCTGCATAGAAGCTTCCCGGCACGGCCCTATGAAACCGCCTGGGGCGGCTCCCCTCGAGGGACCCTCGGTCTGGCGCGAACGCCGCCTTTGCCGCAAGCCACCGGGATTCGACGCCCATTCAAAACCCCCCGCAACACACCCTGCTGAACATTGGCACAACGTATACAACAATAATAAGACTATTAATGGCACCCCCCCACACACAAAAAAAGGAATCTGTCGCGGCTGGATGAGGACGTGCTTGATCTTGATCTGGTAGAGGCAGCAGTGCGCCACGTGGACGAGGCCTGCGAGGACGGCGCGGTGCTCGTGTTCCTGCCAGGTGGGATGCTTCGGGGGCACAAGACACGCGCGCACACACACATACCACCATCGTAGGCACACGCACTCACACAGTTTGATAACACACACCTACACAACACACACACCTACACAACACACATACACACACACAAACACACACACACACTGAGACTGGTTCCTGCCGGTTGGGATTGCCGGTTCCGTTGGGATTGCTGGTGGGATTGCGTGTTTCAGGGGCGTCTGGGGCCGCGCGGTTCGGCGTGCCAGGTTAAACCGGCCGCGCGGCGGCTGCGACCGGATGCAGTCGGCGTGGCGTGTGCGGAAGCATGCGCGCGCTTTTGGGAGAAGGGAATTTGGACCGGCCAGCCCCTCGCCCGGCGCGCCACCCGTCCCCCGAAATCCAAAAGTTTCTGAGCCCCAGTGCCCGCCGCGCGCCGCATCATGTAATTCCACTTCCACTGACCGGCAGGCATGGCCGAGATCAGCGCCGTGCTGGAACGGCTGACGAGCAACGCCCACTTTGCGCGCGGCCGCCACCGACTGCTGCCGCTGCACTCTGCCATCAGCCCCCAGCAGCAGCGCGCCGCCTTCGAGGTGGGGTTCTGGGTTCAGGACACAGGGTTCAAGGGGTTGGCATGGCAGTGTTTTGCTGCGTGGGCCTCCTTTTCGCCTTACGAGGGCGCTCATGGCTTTGCGCAATGCGCGCTCGCCGCGCCGCCGCCGCTCCCTTGCCGCGCCGCACCCACCTCAAGGGCCGCGGCGGGCAGACCAGGGCTGCCCCCCTGCCGGGTGGTCTGTTATATGTCGGGCCGCTCACCATATGTGCGCCTGCGTGAACGACAACGCCAGGTGCCGCCGCCGGGGATCCGCAAAATTGTGCTGGCCACAAACATTGCAGAGACGAGGTGCGTGTGTGTGCGCGTGTGTGCTTGTGTGTGTGTGTGTGTGTGTGTGTGTGTGTGTGTGTGTGTGTGTGTGTGCGCATGTGTGTGTGCG